TCAAGGGTCGACAGCATGCGAGGACACAAGGTAATACGAACGCGTGATACAGCCACCGGATTGCCACGCTGAAAACGCCGCATGATAGCTGCTCGTATGGGCCACTAGCGGAGGGGCCGATAGGGAACAACGACTGCCTGTCCTTAAATAGGCAGCCACCACTGGAAGCGGCATTCTGCTGCTAGCGACACGAAACTCTTTTGTCCTAGACAAGAGTCTGCTGCCGAGACGAGACCGACGACAGAACACACACTGCTGATGAACACAGAACAAGCTGGTGGAAACGCAGAAGACAAAGCTGATGTACAAGCAGAGACAGTTATAGTAAACAATATTCTCTGCTATCCTGTCTGTCTTCATTTCCTAACTAATGACAGGGGGATTTAACAAGTGTCGACGCAAATGCTCACACAAGGTTATAACAAGTGGCGACGCGAGTGATTACACAACATCACCATAAGGAGGACGCAGGTGCTTACAGTAGAAGGAAGGTAGATAAGTAAAGTAAAAACGTAAACTGACTTTTGTTATGGGCAGGTGCACATATAAACATTACGTAATCGTCTGAGATATCGTTTGCCCAAATTTCACTGATCCCTACACTATGGACAAAAGGGGCATGTAATTCTATGACTTAGGTTGTCTGTTTGCTGCATTTGTGGGCGGTTTTAAAAGAAGGAAAACCAGATGTGAATCATCGAAATATCGAACACTTTCTAACCGATTTTGACTTGCCGTCTAACAGGAAGCAGTAACTCCTTTGGATGGTTAGCGTAGTTTTGCCATTTTTCTTACTTCTTGCTCTAAAAAGATCCTGATAGACCCATATTTTGTTATTATGGAGCTCGAAGGTCTGAACTAAGCAATAACACATCGGAGTCCATAATTGCGTCTCTCTTTTACTAAGCTGGAATAACTACGAATAACACAAATAAAATGCGCGAATTAGAGTCGGAACTGGAATTTGACCAACTCCTCGGTCATTGTGCCACAACATCTTCATTCTTAGTTGTTGATTTTTTTGCGACATGGTGTCCACCTTGTCGAAGGATCGCACCGTATTTTGAGGATCTCGCAAGCACGTTTTCGCCGCAAGACGTAGTATTCGTAAAAGTAGACTGTGATAAATGCCGCGACTTAGCTACAAGAGAGCAGATAAGATCACTCCCAACTTTTAAGCTTTATTACAATAAGGCGTGCTTAAATAGCGTTTCAGGTTGTTTTCAACTTTTGTTTACTAACCAAACGTCTAGGAGGACCAATAACAAGGGTCGAAAAAATGATCGAAGATTACTGGCTGTACGAATCATCCAAAGAGATATTTTCCTGTGAACGTGTTCCAACCTTCTCTTATGCGTTGGCGCACTTAATTCGCATCGCCAAATCTGCGAAGATTGCTGCGTTGAATCATAAAAAATATGAGCTTCCACTGAGCGACGAAGTCTTCGAAAATTATTTCCTTATTCTGCCGGGCTTCATGCAGTTTCTGTTCGACCTGGGCTTTGAGGTATGTCCTCAAAATTTAACATTTAGAAAATCTTGTTCACCGCTTGTTGACCAAAGGCTTCGAAAAGCTTCCTTGATAGTTTTCACTTCATCATAATAATCAAAAGCGTAGGTATTTACTTTACTTAAGAAGCCCACCATTGCAACATTTGTTTTACGCCCCGTTTAACGGGCATTTGCCAGATATTTCCACTGATGTCTTTTGGGTCGAGAGGAGGATGTGCCACGTACTGTTTGTCAGTTGAACTTCAGGTCCTGTCATCTTGTAAGATTTGCGTTGCAAACCAAGGATGCCCTTAATGAGAAGTCCTTAGCAGTCATCATAAGGTCTACCAGGTCTGGCCTAGTGCAGACTCAGGCCATTTAAATAAAGCAGTTTAGAGGAAGCAGTCATTCCCTCCTGGCCGTCTGAGCTGCAACTTTTTCTGATTGTGAATGAGTTTTTGATTTTTCCGATGGTTCTGTTAATTCCGCTAGCACATTCCTTCATCGCAAGTCTTTTGTGGTACTTGTCTTTCCTCTTTTCCTAGAGGAATCTAAGCCAGCACAGGTCCGGTTCATCGTCAAAATTCCATACCAAAATGTTGACTCACATTGGGTTCCACTATATCATTTTCAGTCGAAGGTAAAAGCTGACTGTGGTCTACCGGTGAGGCTGATGGACAAAAAACAGGTAGTTTGAGGCATCAGGGAAAGCAAATGAAGCAATGAAGTTGACATATTTTGATATTGATCACGCCTTATTCAGTCATAGTTTATTTATCACAAAAAAACCCAAGTGAGTGTTCAGGTATGGGGACTACTTTCCTTCTCTTGCATTTTCTACAATTGTGATGCAAAGCTTTGTATTCATTAATCAGCAAAAAATGCTAATGCTTCAGACAGTAGCCACTAAGACACCGTTCCGGCTTGATGCTGACCGCATCATAGTTCGCGGTTGATTTGACTGGTGTAATTTCTACCTGACATACCACTAAGGGCGTGTTTTAGAACATTGATACTACCATGAGGACAGATTTCGTTCAAACCAGGTGCATATGTCGAGCCGATAATTGAAGGGCAGTGTGGCCACATCACATAAATAATGGCTCATAATTCCAACTTACCTCAATATTTACAAACCGTGTATTGCCAGCGCATTCAAGACAAATTTACTTTTGAGTAAAACGCAGAAGAATTTAACGAACGACTTTTAGTTCTGTGGATTAGACCAGTTCTGTTGATCCACATCAAGGTACGCAGACAGGAAAAATGTGGCAAAATTTATCTTCCATTAGCTTTTCAGTCTGACTTCCATGTACTTACACTATCCTTCATTAAATTCTAGGAGCAGGGTGTTTCGCTGGTTTTGACGGACAAACCCGATATACACAAGATAAATCGTCTGATATCTCAGATCTCGGGTCCGCCACCCAAAAAGGTAAGATAACTTTACATGCATGAAATAGGTTGGAAAATATATTTTTCGCCTCCGCCTCTTTTTCGCCTCTTGCGGAGGTTAAAGTACTTGCCAGTTTTGTTGGGGAGTGCGTAGAGAGAAACAAATATATATTTTTAAGTAGCACGTTTAAAAATCGAAGGTACGCAAACTATGTTGTCGGGCAACCTTGTTCGTGAACGTTCGTGTAGTATAAGTGCGCTGGTTGTGTTTAGAGATTTCCATCTTCCGTGGGAATAAAGTAACAGCCAGTCAAAGTTCATACTCTCTTTGCTCTTGTTAGGTCACATCTACCGGCTCATTTTGTTAGATACGTTTTCTACGTCTTCCGACGTTGATTCAGCAAGTTGTGGAGTTTATAAAACGTGGCTTTTGCATAACTGGCTATCAGCTCATGAAAGCATACAAAAAACAAGTGCAATAATACTCACCCTGTAATTCTTCTGGACTGAGGCACAAATAATGCACAGAAATGATACAATCCTTAAGACAGAAGTATACTAGATTCGGACTACTTGTAACAGGCTGTCAGGGTTGTTATTGCGCAACCTTTTCCTTCAGCCGGAAGGCCGCACAACACTGCCTAGGCGGGGAAGAATGGGGTTGTAATTAGTTCTCGATGAAAGTTGAGAATGTGATGCAAGTGCTTATGGTAGGGGTCGATCTGGGCCGAGTTGTCAGTAACAAAGCTGCCAAAGGCATCGCTCAGCGTAGTTGGCTTACCACTAGCTTACCAGATGATTTGGGAAAGTTTTCGAGTCCAAACAACCACAGGGTTCTCCTGCTGATTCCATCACTGCGGCGCCGCCGGGTAAATCCAAGACTTTATTAAACAGCTTCAGTGATGACCAGTAGCCATCACCTTCTGCTCATCCTTTTCCTCCTGCCCCTCATGCACATCCTCTTCTTTTGCGCACTTATCTGTCGTTTTCTAGGCTCCCAGCCAATGCTTGAGCGGTGAAAAAATTATTTACTCACGCAGAATTTTGTTTTCTCTAGGTGAGCCAGGACCATCCCCTGTTGCAGCGCCTTGCAGGATATAAAAAGCTGGTATGCTATCATCTCAATTCACTCAGCCAGGTGAGTACTTAAGCCTGCCAAGTCAATAATTATCCCACGCTTCGCCCACATCCCTTTTTGCCCGAAAGAGAATGTACTTTGAAAGTGTTCAGAATGATTCTGGACAATTTAGGAGATTGGTAGTTCGTGAGAAACCGTACGCGTGACGACAAATTTGTCACGTACGCAAAAGACAGCTAACATTGACCTAGACAAGAAATCGAAATAGCGAAAATTATATGAAGTTGTATAGCAATAATATTTGTTTTTGAAAACTAAGTTCCGGGCAGGCTTCCAGAGTAGTCAAGTAATTAAACTTACAATGGCAGAACCTGTGCGAACGAACGAATAAAACCTAATGTAAAGGCTAAACTGAAAAACTGCTTTCTTTGAATACTCTTCTGGATAGCTAGTCAACACCGCTTGGTTTTTTTCAAAATGAGTGAGGTCTACTTTAAGTATTGTACCCCTGAGGCTTGATTGTGTCGGTGACGGGCCGCTTGTCCTCTGTGTATAACAGAGCTTTTTATAACTGTCAGAAAGCACTTAAGTTCGTGTGGTTTCACCAGTCAATCATCAGGAAAAAAAAACGCTATGCATTCTGTGGTTATCACGACCATCCTCCTTAAACAAATGCTTAAAGTCGAATCATATAATGCAATCCCTATCTTCGCATGACTATGACTTTGCTACCACCACCTATGATTAAGGATTCCCGACGGAATCCGAAACGTCAGGAGAATAAAACTCTTGGTTCAGTGATTGCATCCGCCTCTTCTGAAATGCAATCATAGGTAAGTATGACTTGTATGACCGCCTAAACAGGACATGGGGAAAGGAACGTCCCTCCCACCCGCTTAACGTAGGTGACTTTGCGATAAATTTAAGGCAGCTTAAAAATTTCCGTGTCTGAGAATAACCTTAAACATAAAAGCAAACAGTAGCCCTAATCTTAGGCCTACCCTAAACCAAAATCCGATAGTTAATCCTTGGCATAATCGTAGCCCTAACCCCCCCGACTCTGACCTTAACTTCAACCGCAAACCTAACCTTCACCTTAATCGTAAGCCTAATTTCCATGGAATTTTGCCCTAAGCCACACGTATTGTGGACGGTTCCTATTCTTGTGCCCTGTTTAGACGGGCAAACACGTCAACCTAACCAAATCTTTAAGTGAAGAAGAGGTATTCACCGGGAGAGGGCTGACGAATGAAAGAGAATGTTCGCATTCCAGGTATTTCTATTGGTACAGAAGACACACGATCGAGCACTGGAACGAATTGTATTTTGTCCGACGATGGACTCCTGCAGGAGCCCGAAAGCTCACGACAAAATACAATTCGTTCCAGTGCTCGATCGTGTGTCTTCTTTTCCAGGAGAGGGCTAATGTTTCGCCAGTCCTACGCACTTTGTTTGGCACGTAGCCTGCCAATGCCGACTATTTGACTCGCGCTTTTCTGTGACCAATCCCTATCGCCCACGACCTTGCACAGATAATTGGCGGTCTCAACTGTTCCTTAACGTGACTATCCCGTTATCAAGAAGGTTGTTTAAACCCGAATGACGGGTAGGGCAAATTAATGTGGCGGTTGTTGACAGAGTGGTTTGCTAGCTGTGGTCCTCGCCTTGACCCACAAAGTCAGAGTTGGAGATGTGTCCTGATACCTTCTACCCGGTTCTCAGCCGTAGTACTGTACTCGGGACTATCGTCTGATTATTACAGGGAGTTTTGCAAATTTGAATAATTCATTTGACCCACCTGTGAAAAACTCGGAGGCCTCGGTGGAAAGGCTTTAGTACGGCCAACGCTGTAGCCGACTGAGCTGCGACGCCCCCCACACCAGGAGCCGTGCTTGGAAACAATTCTGATTCTTACAAAACGAACTGAGAAACCCCATTTGTTTTTACTGGGCCGCTGATATGACTAAGGTACTCACTGTGAGTGACCCTGTTTACATGGGCATCATCTGCGAACTTAGGCAATCCAGGTACCGTAAACTCCCTATTTCATGAAACCTTACCCGAAATTCTTAAATGTGTTTTCCATTCGAACAAATTACTCAAGTAGCCAGAAGGGGAAAGGTAGTCCACAAGGAGAGGTTTATTTGTGATCTGACGTTTCGGATAGTTATCTCGTCTATCCATT